AAAAAGACTAAACATACGAAGATTGTTCGGAGAATTCAACTTTAAACATGACATGAATCGACCCCAACTACACACGGCGAACATGACTCACGGCCAACATGAAAATCGATTTGCATGACACTAATACATATACAACCAAGAGATATCCAGCAATATACCTCTTCAGCTGTTCACTTGTCGAGTTAACCATGTGAAATACTTGCCGTGACCGTGTGTAGTCCTACTTGCGTGCGGTGCGATAGGGTGCTTGCGATAACTCGGCGGTGCGACTGACTGCCGTGCATGTGTGCTGATTGCCATGGAGTTCTGCTTCGAATTCTCTCAACCCTCACCTTTTCTCTCTAGCGTATGTGTATATATATGTGGAACTTAGCTATATGTGGAGAAATATGGGAAAAATTTCCCAAACACTCCTCTTTATATACACACGGCGCCGAGAGGGAAAAAGCATGAGACCTTGGTGGCCATCTCCATCTAATGACACTTGTAGCAACAATAACCCTTCTTAGGTGACTAATCACCTAATTATGCCACATAATGACACGTATAAACTCAAAAAGAGGGATTATTCCTATGTTGAAAAGCTACAGTATTAGGAATGAATTTAGAACAAAACCCATACGGCTTTATGGCTTAACTCGTGATTAATTGCTAATTAATCACTTAATCATGTTTAATTATTTAATTAAACATATTTCTTAATTACCAAAATTATTCCGAACGTAAACGGAACGTCGAAAATAATTTTTCGATAATCTCGACTGAAATGACTGAAATAATTAATTCCGAAAATTAATACCCGACAATATTAATATATCGGAATTAAAAACATAATTTATACTGATAAACTGACGGGATATTACAATCCTCCCTCCTTACAAATTTCCGTCCTCGAAAATTCAAAACATAACTGAAAATACATGAACTATGTACATAGAACAAGAAATATGTACATCAAAACTAAAAATCTGGAAAACGAGCACGAATATCGGACTCCGCCTC